AGAAAGAAAGAAAGAAAGAAAGAAAGAAAGAAAGAAAGAAAGAAAGAGATACCAGCAGGAATTTAATACGGAATAGCAACCCAGCATATGAAGTCGCAAGGCATGGTCTGAGATCCATCAGACATTCTGTACTAATAACCTACACTAAAACGTTGACTGAAATGGGACATAGAATTTCATTCCGAACACGTTCACAAATAAAGCAAATGAGGAAATAGGAAGACTTAAAAAGCTTTTGTCATCCGAGAATCTTGCCCACATAATAACATCATTACTCTTCATAGATTCTCAGAGCTGAAAAAGAACTTACCATAGACATCATGTGGTTTCCTCCTACTTTGACCTCCTAGTTTTACAAAGGAGGAAATCAAGGTCTAGGAAGTAAAGAAATGACCCAGGGCACACCTATAGACAATAATGATAAGCGCTGATACTGAAAGTAACTATTATTAATTAGTACTACTAAGAAGCAGGATTGTGGCTGTTGGCATATTTAACTGGAAAGGAAAAACACAGGCCACCAAGACCCCCAATTTTAATACTTTTTCTACCATAATTCTGTGGGTGACTTGGGATAAGTAACTTTACTGCTCTGCTCTTCTGTTTCAATATATTAGAAGGAGGGACAGAAAGAAATTTGGTTTCCATTGTCTCTAAAGTATTTTCCAACTTCAAAAAAGGAAATAGTGCTTGCAGCCAAAAAATTAAACTCTGTTCAAACGTTCTAAATCATCTTCAGACTATTCCCTAAAACCAGCCCACTGATAACCACATATCTCCAATGTTTCACACAGGCAGGATTACATGTTCTATAAATTCTCAAAAAACATATTAGAATGAAGGTTATTAGATTCTGACTGAAAGTAAAGATAGGATGTTGATTCTAATTTGTAAAAATAATGTTACACAATCAATTAACATAAAACTCAAAAAATGTTCATGCCAATATAAACAAACACTGATAATTACCAGAGAAAAGTGATTGTTCATTAATACAATATCGTGGACAGAGAAATAAAGACTGAGAGTTTTTAAATGTCCACGGTGCTCAGAAGAAGAAAAGAACCACCTGGTTTAATGTATAATAGATATTGTGTTACTTTTTCATGTAAGGACATTTTACATACCTTATCCCTGGTACATATAACATTCCAACACGGTAAATACAGATAGATAGAGAGACAGAGAGACATAGACACAGGTACAGCTATGGATACAGACACAAACATACTCATAGAGATATAGATATATGAAGGCTTAGAGAGAGACAATAAACTTGTCCCCAGTCTCACTGTGTCATCTAATGCCAGAAGTGGTCCACATAGCATCATTAAATCCTACGAATTTAGATTTCCCTCCAAATACACACAGATTCTTATACCCACACATCCATTCATCTGATTATTCATGCATTCATTCATTGATTTGCTTATTCATTTACTCACTGACTCATTTTGCCAGAGTCACATTCTATCTTTAGCAAGATGGAAAAGGAAGATGTGTAGGAGAGACAACATTTCATCTTAAAGCCACTAATGTTGCCAACCCTGACTTCTGGAACCTGAGGGTGAATGGCAGTTCTAATAACTCAACTACTGGCACTTTTTGATATATGCAAATATACAGGAGATACAAAAGAACAATTAAGAGGTCCAAAGGGCCCCCTGTGATTTACCCAGACATCACAAGCCCTACAAATGCAGGATGAGTTATAAGAGGAGAGAGGATTATGTGAAACCTAGAGCTTCTTAGCTGGCTTTCCTTTCAAAGATGCCCTTTGTCCTCTGATTATTTGTTCCCCCTGGGAGTTAGAAGAAGAAAGACTGAAAAGAAGGAGGTAATTGGATACTATTTCTTCTTGCTTTCTGTTATTTTCCCCCCTCAGTTTCACTGGTAGCAGGTGTAGATTAAGTCCTGCACTTTGACAAAATATTAAAGGCGAGGGTCAATGCCACTCATGAAAGTTAGCTTTGGTGCCTGATGCCCCTGATGTCTGGTCTAAGATGGGGATAGGCAGTTTTAGCTAAGGGGTGTCAATGTGAACTGTAGCTCTAAAGATTTTCAAACAAGAAAGATTCATTTGGAACTGTCTTCTAGGTGGGCGGAGGTGGTAATCTACTCACTGACTCACAGGTGCTTTAACTGAAATTGAACCCATGAAGCTAAATGTTCAAGATGGTCAAATTGGTCACGGGCTGGTGGATATTAGTGGACACAGACTGGGTTCTGGAGTTAGAAGATCTGGATTTGTGTACCAGGTTGACAGTTACTAGTTAAGCAGAATTGGTCAAATTATTACTTCTCTAAAGTCCAGTTTCCTCATCAGTAGCATCTGGAGAGCAGAAATGAACGCCAACTGTACCACGTGGTTGTAAAGTGAGGGGATTTGTGTGAGAAGGTCCATTAGTGCCTGAATTATCAAGCATCCCACAGAAATCTGTATGTGCCTGTTATATAAAGGATATATCAGCTCTGTCCACAAGGATCCCACAGACAGCAGATGCTGCTATTATTAACAATAGCATCAAGGAGGAAACGGCCTCTGGTGGCTGTCACAGTAGTTCTTACTGTGTTCTGTAGTTCACCAGTAGTTCTGGGTTCTTTCCCAGAACATAAAGTAGGACACATGAGACACTGAAGGAGAGGGTAGGGGGCAAACTGAGACTAGCCCTCTCTTTGCAGATCCTTGGGGAAACCACGCCAGTTGCAAGAGACCTGGACTAGGAAATGCTCCTTTCTTGAAGTTCTGTGAACTTGAACTCCCACACAAGGAAACCAATGGAGGTTTCCCTACAATGCAAGAAGGACCAGTTACACTCAGGGACAGAGAAATATATACTCTAAATGCTGTGATTGGGAGAACATCATGAATGCCTCCAGGCTCCAGGCATCATCCTCTACTGGTCTGCCTCCAGACCAGACCCTATACCACAGGCCATGTATTCTTGTCTCTAGAGATGCATCTAGGGCTTCAAGGTGCCACAAGATAGCAGCCTGGCTTTCGACACCTGCCTGTCTGATTAGAAACTACATTCTGCTAAATGTCAGCACTGAGGCCTTGGGCAGGTTGTTAACCTCGGAAATGTCCACACTGGAAAATGGGATACCAATATCAGTCATTTTATCCATGATCATATCCCAGTGATTTGGCATCACGTTTTACTTGAACACAAGGCAGGCTGAATGGCATGCAGAAGAGTAAAGAACGTCTACATTAGAACTCTTCTGTAACATGAGGTCCAGCACCCAGACTTCATTCTTTAAAGAATTGAGGGTGGGAGCTCACCTGGAAAATAAGGTTAGCAGGTGGGATGGACTGCATTTTCTTGTCATATAGCTGCTGCTAATAACTTATTACCATCTTGTTCAATCATCTTTTCCCTTTGGAATAGTCTCCTGTGTCTCTGTATTTATTTGGTGTCCCTTGCATTTCCTGGACTGTAGTCAATGGAATTTGTTGTTCCTGGAAAACACTGCCCTTGATACCACTTTCGGCTACCCAATCCAGTCTCTATTATTTCTTCCTGTTGACTACCATTCAGTCCCACGATAAGCAGCATAGCCCCATCTTTCTAACTTGCTCAAAGGAATACATGTATTAAGTTATCCAAGATAAATTCTCCGCTTCAGGGAAAACTGCATTTAGAGATTTTTGAGCTGGCAGGAATCTAGCCCATTCATTAAGGATCGTAACAGCAATTATATATTTGCTTTTTTTAATGTGATACTTAGTTTGCAAATATTTTCCATTTCATAGATCCCCTTTTTATTTAGTTGCACACTTCC